GGCCACAGAAACGTTACTTAGGGACACAGAATTGTTACTCAGGGACAGACACAGAATTGTTACTCAGGGACAGACACAGAATTGTTACTGAGGGACACAGAATTGTTTACTCAGGGACACAGAATTGTTACTGAGGGACACAGAATTGTTATCTGAGGACACAGAATTGTTACTGAGGGGACACAGAATTGTTACTCAGGGACAGACACTAGATATTGTTACTGAGGGACACAGAAATTGTTACTGAGGTCCACAGAAACTGTTATTAGGGCCACAGAAACTGTTACTTAGGGCCACAGAAACGTTAGCTAAGGGACACAGAATTGTTACTCAGGGACAGACACAGAATTGTTACTCAGGGACAGACACAGAATTGTTACTGAGGGGACACAGAATTGTTACTGAGGGACACAGAATTGTTACTCAGGGACAGACACAGAATTGTTACCTCAGGGACAGACACAGAAATTGTTACCTAAGGGACACAGAATTGTTACTGGAGGGCCACACGAACTGTTTACTTAGGGCCACAGAAAACGTTTACTCAGGGACATAGAAATTGTTACTCAGGGGACAGACACAGAATTGGTTACTCAGGGACAGACACAGAATTGTTACAGATTGACACAGAATTGTTATGAGGGACACAGAATTGTTACTTGAGGGACACAGAATTGTTAACTCCGGGACACAGAATTGTTCTCAGGGACAGACACAGAATTGTTACTGAGGGACACAGTCATTGTTACTGAGGCCACCCCAGAACTGTTACTTAGGGCCCACAGAAAACGTTATACTCAGGGACACAGAATTGTTACTCAGGGGACAGACACAGAATTGTTATGAGGGACACAGAATTGTTACTGAGGGACACAGAATGTTACTGAGGGCCACAGAACTGTTACTTAGGGCCACAGAAACGTTACTCAAGGGACACAGAATTGTTACTCAGGGACAGAAACAGATTGTTACTCAGGGACACAGAATCGTTTAATTAAAGAGTATGTCAGACAACATGCAGAGGAGTTGGCAGAGGAGGCAATGTTTTAGGAATGCGAGCAGACGTGGCAGCAGTAGGAAGGGGATCGAGGCAGCACTATTCGCAGCCAGAGGCCAGTGCTCCCAGTGTCATTCAGCGGTCGTGTCTCCACCGACAACCCCTGCCGTCATCGATTGGTTGGCTCGGTCGTCTTTCCTCTTCACAGGTCACCTTGACAACCTACAAGCCCAACGGTCGGTGGGTACGTCAGACACAACCGTTATTAGTTGGCATGGCCCGGGAGCAAGCCCTGAAATCACGTAGTCCTCTACCTGCCTCTGTCTTGGTGTTCCCGCTACCAAGCGAAGTATCGCATGCTGTGGGCTCAGCCCACTGTACTCAGTGAGGAAGAGCTACAGAGGGCGGTAAGGAACGGGGGGGAGGAGACATCGCCTTTTTCAGCAGCCAGGCGAGAAGTAGTGGCGAGGAGAGTGGCTCGGTAGCCTTGGTCTTAGAGAGAAGGTCTGTCTCCTGACCCTCCACGCAGCCGAGGGGGCTAGTAGTGAGGCGGAGACCCTAATTGATGATGATGAGGCTGATCGCACTTGGCAGCTCTCGTCGTCATCTGGCTATTGCTTCCCGCATTCATCAGGAGAAGAGGGTGGCAGCTTGGCAGCGAGCAAAACAGTCGGTGGGTTGCCCAGGAGGCAGCAGGGTCGCAGTAGTAGTGTCAGTGGAGGCAAACGGACCAGGAGTACAGCACCAGCTCCACTGCAGCCTACCACCACGGCCAGTAGTGGTGCCCGGTGTAGCACGGTGGATGCTGCAGCAGTCAGCCAAGTGAGGAGTATCGGGGGCAAAGTTTCCTATCGGCGGTGTGGCAATTTTTGTCAAGCCGCTCACGAGGAAGTTAACGTAGCCGTATGTCGACTATGTGGCCAGAAAGTCAAGTGTGGCCAGGGGGCCCATTGTTGGGGACTACAGCGTTGCGTCTTGCATATGCAGCGTCGCCATTTTGGTGGCCCTGGGAAAAACCGTGATAAAGCACTACGGCGGTTCTGCCTGGCCCACCAGCCCCCGCTCCATTCACCCGCTCCGTACTTGCTCCGTACCCGAACGTCAATCGCCCTCTATCAGCAGTCAAGGCTCCAACACCTCTGCTGAAGGGGAGTTGTCGCTCGTTGGCATCTTCCGCTCGTTCGAAGATGCTCCTTCTCCTGTATCCTCTTCTACCGGATTCCGTCAGCAGTCTTTCTTGGAATCCGTTTCAAGAGACAACAGTTTGCGAGCACGCACCCGACGGTTTGCATAAGACTGAACGTCCTCCTCCTGTCCAATTGCTGGTGCTGCAGTCCCTCCCTTTCCAAGTGGTGGACTCAGCCACCTGTTCCGAGAAATGATGGCTTGTGGGCCGCGCCGCAGTGGAGGCAGTGGCAAGTGTCATTTTTTCGCAAAAAAGGGCAGTGCCAGCCCCTGCATTCACATGTAGAAGAGATGGTGGGCCACAGTCTCTTTGAGCATGTCGGTCTCTGCCAAGTGCACGGCAGCGCCGAGTGTGGAGCTGTAGCTTACGGTTCAGGGACAAGTAAATGTCATTTACGGCCCACTGGTGTGAACGTGGTGCCGTCACAGCCGCACCAGCAAACTTGGGACAGGTCACGCCGCTTTTGCCTCCACGTTTGCACGTCCTTGGTCCACAAAAGATGTCCGCCTCTACCACCTCTTCTTCCGCCGTCGTCACAGCCGCCACCCCCGTCGCCAAGTCCCATTACCCGACGGCATATCACATGTGCAGGCGCAACGGTGTCACGCTGTGCTGCACACTGGTTATGCCTTGGCGAACGTAGTCACACAGGGGGAGGAACTTCTCAGTGTAATGATACAGAGAAATCGACAGATGGGCTGTCTCCGCGCAAACTGAAATTCGGAAACCATGTTGACTCGACAACGGAAAGAAATGGTGTCTGGTCTGCGTCAAGGAAGGTTGTGCCATGGAGGGGCGCCATGCATGGCTCACGTGTTCTAATCTGGTTGTCATGCAGGCGGGTTCATAAATCCACATCCCACTGCAAGACATCCTTAAAAATGTCACGTAAACTTTGCATGCATTTCTAGCATATGCCTACACCGCAAAAGCACACCCCTCCTTGAGCTGCTGCGGCAGAACGGAATTCCCACAGCATCGCCTGATCTGCGACGTGTGCAACAAGGTGGAATTCAACCCTACACATGTTTAGACCGCCTTTACGAACAGCGACAAGGCCTCACCTGATTTCCTGATGTACAAGCGGAAAAGGTACTCCCTGTGTAACTTCGATGTCAGCCATTGGCAGCTCTGCGTGACACCTGCCGCTTGCTCAGGCCCTTTGAGGAGGCCACGCTATTCGTGAGTCGGCAGGACTATCGGGGATGAACGACGTCATTCCTTCTGTTGCACGTCCCTGGAACAAATGCTGTTAACACAATGGTGGTTCAGGTTGCGGTAGACGTGGCGCACCACAGATCTCAACGCCACATGAACCCCTGTGGGGGCAGGACAGGAAGAAGAGGAGGAGGTAGAGGAGGACACATTTGTGCTCAGGAATTATTGAGTGAAAATGGGTGGTTTTTCCACTCAGCGGACAGGAGTGGAGGGAGCAGGAGCATTGGTAGAGGAGGAGGAGGAGGAGACAGAGGACCCAGACGCACGTGGCAGTATGCTGTTGAGAGATGGAGGCAGGGAAGTCCCTCGGCATTCCTTGGGCACAAATGGGACCATAGCATGCTCGGTTGCTTTTGCGTTTAGCGACAGCCGAATAATAACCATCAGACAGAGAGATGACTTTCTGGCTGTTCCACCTTGTTGGACCCTCGCTACCGTTCAAAAATGGTGGCCTTTTTCACACCATGCTGAGAGGGAGGCCAAAATAACGTACTATAAAAACCACCTATGTTAGTCAGTTGGTCTCTGCTTTTGTGCGCCAACGTCCATCCTCAGACACTGTGGGCCTGTGCGCTCGCATTCCGCTGCCATGGCAGCAGGGGAGGGGTGGGTGTGGTAGGAGCAGTGGTAGCTCCACCAGCAGCGGCCTGCCTCAGTCTGCAGTCGGATGATGAGTGTAGCTTTCTTCACCAGCGCAGTGAGGAAACTACTAACCAGCAGCAGCAGCAGCAGCATCAGGTGGACCTGGAGCAGGACCTCAAACAACAGGCTTGGGCCTACTTGGACAGCACCTGCCAACGAGGTAGACAATCCCCTTGACTATGGGCAACGAAACTTGACCTTTGGCCCCAACTAGCTGAATTTGCGCCCTTGAAAGGCTGTTATGCCCGGCCAGTAGGCGTGGCATCGGGAGCGCGTGTTTAGTGCGGCAGGAGGTATTGTAAACTCCGCGAGAGGACACGACTGTCCACCCAAAGTGTGGAGAGACTTCACGTTTGTGAAAATGAATCAGGCGTGGATTAGTCTGGATTTCAAAACCACCAGTTCCTGACACAAAACTGACTAAATCCGCCGCATGAATCATGCCCATGCATGTGCCACTTTCACGTTCTCCTCACACTGCTGGTGTGTTCATTTTTTGTCATTAGGGTGCTGGCAGATAGGGGCCTACATAGCTGCTGCCAGGCCCCTAATTGCCATGGGCCGCCTACCCTTACCGCTCCTCATGCTGCTGCCAAGTCCAGAGTCTATTCATGGGTCCCTGTAGGGCCTCCCATTGCTGCTGTCTCATCGCCACACTCTGCCATGTGCCACTTTCAGGTCTCCTCACACACTGCTGGTGTGTTCAATTTTTTGACATAGGGTGTGCTGGCAGATTACGGGCCTCCCATAGCTGCTGCCAGGCCCCCTAATCTGCCATGGGCCCGTGTACCACCTCCTCATGTGCTTGCCAGGTCCACAGTCTCTAATGCCATGTGCCACTTTCAGGTCTCCTCACATGTGGTGTGTTCAATTTTTTGACATAGGGTTCTGGCAGATTACGGGCCCTCCCATAGCTGCTGCCAGGGCCCCTAATTGCCATGGGCCCCTGTACCGCTCTCATGCTGCTGCCAGGTCCACAGTGTCTCATGGGTCCCTGTACGGCCTCCCATTGCTGCTGTCTCCATCGCCACACTCTGCCATGTGCCACTTTCAGGTCTCCTCACACACTGCTGGTGTGTTAAATTTTTTTGTCATAGGGTGCTGGCAGATTACGGGCCTCCCATAGCTGCTGCCAGGCCCCTAATCTGCCATGGGCCCCTATACCGCCTCCTCATGCTGCTGCCAAGGTCCAGAGTCTCTCATGGGTCCTGTAACGGCCTCCCATTGCTGCTGTCTCCATCGCCACACTCTGCCATGTGCCACTTTCAGTCTCCTCACACACTGCTGGTGTGTTCAATTTTTTGTCATAGGGTGCTGGCAGATTACGGGCCTCCCATAGCTGCTGCCAGGCCCCTAATCTGCCATGGGCCCCTGTACCGCCTCCTCATGCTGCTGCCAGGTCCACAGTTGTCTCATGGGTCCCTGTACGGCCTCCCATTGCTGCTGTCTCCATCGCCACACTCTGCCATGTGCCACTTTCAGGTCTCCTCACACACTGCTGGTGTGTTCCATTTTTTGACATAGGGTGCTGGCAGATTACGGGCCTCCCATAGCTGCTGCCAGGCCCTAATCTGCCATGGGCCCCTGTACCGCGGTGTGTTCAATTTTTGACATAGGGTGCTGGCAGATTACGGGCCTCCCATAGCTGCTGCCAGGCCCCTAATCTGCCATGGGCCCCTGTACCGCCTCCTCATGCTGCTGCCAGGTCCACAGGGTGTCTCATGCCATGTGCCACTTTCATGTCTCCTCACACTGCTGTTGTGTTCCATTTTTTGTCATAGGGTGCTGGCAGATTACGGGCCTCCCATTGCTGCTGCCAGGCCCGTAATCTGCCATGGGCCCCTGTACCGCCTCCTCATGCTGCTGCCAGGTCCAGAGTCTCTCATGGGTCCCTTTACGGCCTCCCATTGCTGCTGTCTCCATTGCCACACTCTGCCATGTGCCGCTTTCAGGTCTCCTCACACACTGCTGGTGTGTTACATTTTTTGTCATAGGGTGCTGGCAGATTACGGGCCTCCCATAGCTGCTGCCAGGCCCCTAATCTGCCATGGGCCCCCGTACCGACTCCTCATGCTGCTGCCAGGCCCGTAATCTGTCATGGGCCCCTGTTGTCGCTTGTTGGCATATTCCGCTCGTTCAGATGCTCCTTCTCCTGCTACTCCTCTTCACGGATTCCGTCAGCAGTCTTTCTTGGAATACGTTTCCAAGAGACAACAGTTTGCGAGCACGCACCCGACGGTGCAGAAGCTGAACGTCCTCCTGTCCAAGTTGCTGCTGCCAGGCTCGTAATCTGTCATGCGCCCCTGTACCGCCTCCTCATGCTGCTGCCAGGTCCAGAGTGTGTCATGGGCCCCCGTACCGACTCCTCATGCTCTTGCCAGGCCCGTAATCTGTCATGGGCCCCTGTACCGCCTCCTCATGCTGCTGCCAGGTCCAGAGTGTGTCATGGGTCCCTGTACGGCCTCCCATTGCTGCTGCCAGGCCCGTAATCTGCCATGGGCCCCCGTACCTACTCCTCATGCTGCTGCCAGGCCCGTAATCTGTCATGGGCCCCTGTACCGCCTCCTCCTCATGCTGCTGCCAGGTCCAGAGTGTGTCATGGGTCCCTGTACGGCCTCCCATTGCTGCTGTCTCCATCGCCACACTCTGCCATGTGCCACTTTCAGGTCTCCTCACACTGCTGGTGGTTTCCATTTTTGTCATAGGGTGCTGTATGGCCTCCCATTGCTGCTGCCTCCACCGCCACACTGTGGCTCCACACTCTGGTTTTGGCCCCGTGACTGCCCAAATGAGTGAAGTGTGCGGTGATTCTAAGATCGACGGCACTCATCTGCATGTCATACTGACTGTCAGTATTATTTCTCTTCCCCAGCAGACTCCAAGGGCATTTAAATTAAAGGTACAGTGTTCTGCACTAATATAAAGGCTCTCTGAAGCCTAGAAACACCCTTTTATAAGTTAAATTCGCAGCGAATATATTCGACTCGAATCGAAATTTTTCCACGAATTCGCCAAATCAGTCGAATCGAATTTTTGAATACTTCGCTCATCTCTATTTATATCCATTCCTAATTCTGTGGACACCTTTGGAGCGGGCGTGTGGGAGAGCATTTGGAGATCCATGGACATCCTGGTGTTGATTTTCATATGAGTGTATTTGACCATTCCTTCTTTCCTTATTTGAGAAGTTTGCTATCAGTTTTTAAAACACTTTTTTTTTTTTTTTTTTCCCCTCCTTTTCTGACACTTCTTATACAGCACTTATTTGTCCTTCAGTTTACTAATTAATTAGTTAATTGTTCACAGGTGTCTATAGATTTCGATAGAACTCACATTTCAGCTTGCTCACACTTGATGCTGGCTTGCATGTGGAATTTGTGAACAAAAGTGTAGAGTTAAAAACCAGGACTTGAAAACAAGAGTTAAGAGAGGAGTCTTCTAACCTGTAAGTAACATCTTAAATTTAAAGTAATTATATTGTAACAGGGATAATGAGTGCTAGCAGGGTTGAAGGTGTTGCTTAGTGCACAGTGTGCCATATGTATGCAAAAATGGTGCAACAGCTCCTGGATACATACTGCTGTGACAGATGTGAGCAGGTTGCCATTCTAGAAGCTCACCTTCGAGATCTGGAGGAGCAACATGCAACACTGAGCAGAAAGAACAACCCTGAAATGGATCTTCTGCTCACTGAGCAGATTGTTAATGGGGTTGATGTGGAGGAGTAAGTCAGAGTTATCAGGTAGGAAGATGGGTTACTGTAGCTAGGGGTAGTGGTCGGGGCTCAAGGAAAAGGAAGGCTAGTCCTGTGTTTGAGCACCAAAAGAAATTTGCCAAGTTGAGTGTAGATGTGGAGGTGGCAAACATAGCTCATCAGCCCACAGCCCATCTAGTTAAGGTGGTGGAGGTAGTGCAGGAAGGCCTAGACAGTTGGTGGTACAGTAGTAGGGGATTCTATCATCAGAAGAACTGATAGAATAATTTGTCACCAAGATCGCCTCAACCAAATGGTTTGCTGTCTTCCTGATGCCAGGGTTGGGCATGTGGTGGACCATGTTGATAAATTACTGGAAGGGGCTCAGCATTGTTGGAACCAATGACCGAATACATGGAAGGTGGAGGCTCCTTAAGAATCAATTTAAAGAACTAGGCTGCAAGTTAAAGGGAAGGACTTCCAAGGTGATATTCTCTGAAATATTGTATGTGCCATGCATAAAACAGAAAATACAGGGAAGAGATTAGAGAACGCAATGCATGGCTAAAGACTTGGTGTAAGATTGAAGGATTTGGATTTCTAGAGCACTGGGCTTACTTTTCAATAGGTGCAACCTATATGCGAAAGATGGTTTGCACCTAAATGCAAGGGGGTCTGCTGTGCTGGGGGAGAGTTTATGGGAAGGCTGGATGAGTTTAGTAAGATTGAGGGGGGAGGGTGAACTAGAATTCAGTGGGGCAGACAGGTCAGTTAGGGGTCAAACAATAATGGAGGGTGGAATGGGGATATATGGGGGAGGGTTATGGCAGGTGAGAAGAAGGTTCCCGTGTTACAAACAACCATTGGAAATTATAGTACTATTTGTACTACTAAAAATGATATGCAAAACACAAGAGCAAAATGTGATAATTCATTATTAAAGTGTTTGTTCACCAATGTCAGAAGTCTGCCAAGCAATATAGGTGAGTTGGAAGCTTTGGTGCATGAAGAGAACTATGATTTAATTGATATTGCTGTATCTTGGCTTCATTCATCACATGACTGGGCTATTAATATTTCTGGATATGCTCTGTTTCGAGGAGACAGGGTAAATAGGAAAGGTGGTGGTGTCTGTTTCTATGTGAGAGGTGTTCTCACAGTGAGTGTGTAAGAGGACCTGGTTGATGTGAAGAGTGTGATGAGGCTGAAGCATTATGGGTGGACATGTATAGTTCAAAGTTAATCATTGGAGTTTTTTGCAAGCCACCCAGTGTTAATGAGGAGGTGGAGGCTCAGCTCCTTGCACAGATGGAAAGGGCTGCAAGGGCTGGGACAGTGATATTAATGGGGGATTTTAACTACCCGGATATTAAGAGGTATGGAGGAGTTAAGCTATGAAGAAAGATTAGAAGAATGAATGTATTCTCTTGAGAAGAGGAGATTCTCAAGATGATCAAGATGTTGATATGATCAACATGTATAAATACATAAGTGGTCCATATAGTGAACTTGGTGAAGAGTTATTTACTTTGAGATCATCACAGAGGACAAGGGGGCACTCTTTACATCTAGAGGAAAAGAGATTTAATCTCCAAATAAAGAAAGGCTTCTTCACAGTAAGAGTGGTGAAAATGTGGAATAGACTCCCTCAAGAGCTGGTTCTGGCCAGTTCAGTAGATTGTTTTAGAAAAATCCTGGATAATTTCCTAAATGTACACAATGTAACGGGATACTAATATTCAGGTAAAGTTGATCCAGGGAATATCTGATCCCCTCTTGGGGGATCATGAAGTATTTATTTCCCCTGCTGGAGAAAATTGGATCATGCTTTATTGGGGTTTTTTTGCCTTCCTCTGGATCAACTGTGGGTATAGGATTGTGTATAAAAGAATGTATATTTGTTTTCTTTTTATTGGTTGAGCTAGATAGACGAGCTAGGTGGACTTATGTCTTTTATTCAATCAGGCTAACTATATAACTATGTAATTATGGTGAGGTTTGTCTGTACATACTGTCTTTTGTGAAGTGCTTTTTCTCCTTTCTGATTGGTGGAATACCTATTTTGAAGGCTCCAATGCTCTCAGCCTATGATTATTACTTTATGTCACTTTTTTTGGTTGATTAATAATTATGGGACTCTTTTGATGGACACTTTATTGTTTCATACAAGTCCCCATTGAATGTTCACATTTGATTTGTAGACACTATTACTGGATCACTGTGCTAAATTGATTCATATGATTTTTGACTTTTAGACAATTTTTTTTGCACTGTAATAGAATGAGTTATATGATCACTTCCACAGTGTCCTATATGTCACTTATAGCTCTGTACTTTTTTTCTATTAAAACTTGTGAAAACTGCAAAGATTAGAAACTTGATAAACCGGGACTAAATTATAGTTTTTCAAATTCTGGACAAGAAAGGACCACATTCTTATTGTACACAGTACATATTGGCTGTAAGGTTATTTAGTAAGATGACATAAAGATCAAGGATGGTATGAAACAGGGTTCTGTGCTAAAATCATAAGAGTTCTTATGATTTCTGATTGGTTGCTCTGGTTTTCTGCACTTTGGCTACCTTTGTTAGTTTTTGCATTGCCTAACAGAATAGACCTATTTTCTCTATTGTTTTATAGTATTGCTGACATGCTAGTAGTAATTCAAATCCAGCATCATCTGCTGTGTCACCTTGGATATTTAACCTTATCTATCTTTGCCTCTGGTAGCTGCAATATGGATTAGTTCCAACTGATATGACATAGTGCACATTTGCTATATTGGAAATAATGGTAATGCATGTGCTGGTTTGTGGGTCAGTGCTCTTTAAGTATTGTCAGTATCCATATCTATCTGTAATAGATGTCTTAAATACACACATCAATGCACAGATATGAGCAAGTGCCAATATTATTATCATTACAAAATCTCTCTATTTTTTTTTTTTATTTTAGTACACATGTATCTAAAGGTGTTCAGATGTTGAAGCAAGTGTGACTAGCTCAGTAGACAGTAAATTACCTTATTCATTTTATAAAAAGGTTTTCTCCACCTAGAGCTAATATTGCCGGCAAGTTGCACCACTCTCTAAATTTGTATATGCCTTTTGCCTATTGCATCAGAATTCCTAGTTTTACTTAATTACTGTGGTTGGCATGATGGATTTTTGTATAATAGGTAATGTACAAATGATTGAGGATCCTGTCTTTAAAAAATTAAACCGTTTTATGGTGGATGGAAATAGAAACACAAATTATGGAGGATGTCAACACTAAAGCTCCGTTCACACCTATGCAGTTTGCTTTTGGTCCATTTTGAAGTGCTTTTTGCAGTTCGTTTTGCGTTTTTTCTACGTAAGCTTTTGAGGCGTTTTACCGTCTTTTTTGGATGTCTGGTGTTACGTCATCACAGGGTTTTGTGTTCTTTAGTTCCAGGGAGAAGATTAAAGTGGAACTAAACCAAGCTCAACAAACTGGAAATGCTATTTAATTCATTTTTATTATCTAAAGCAAACTTACCCATCCATCCACCCCTAGCATTTCTAGAAATTGCCATCTTGAGTAAGAGCAGATGAATAATGTAGCATTTACTTCCTGGAATCTATCTGCCCTTAGCTCAGGCATGCAGGCAGGAGGGTGTGCTTAGGTGAGAATGTCCTCCTCCTCCCCACCTTCAGATAATATAAAAAATGCCCACAAAGACTCTTAGGATGTATGACATAATTTTGGCCTAGTCCAGAAACCAGGAAGCAACTGTAAAAGAAAAAGTTTATTTAATATACCTTCCTATCTATTTACTAATGCTAGCAGCACAAGGATTAAAAATAGTTCACAATGATTGCCAGAGTGAAGTCCCACATTATAAGACAAATGCCTGATGGTGGTTTGAGGGTGCATGTCAACCACTCACTAATACAAAGAGTGGCCACCTATGTTAAAATGTATGTATAGCCAAAACCTTTTTAGGTACAGTAGAGAATGGCTAAAACCTCCAACAGTTTATTCTTTGCTGTCTCTGTACTACTGGGAAAATCTCCCTCACTTCCTGTCCCGGAGATAGAACAGGAAGTTGGGAATCTCCTAAAATGAGGGGAATTTCCCTCTTAGACATTTCTCTTCAGAATAGGTTTCCCTATTTGAAGATTTCTCCCATCTCTAGTTCTGGAGAAACTAATATTTTGGATTTCCCCACACTTTTCTTCTCTGTGACAATGGTCAGCAGGACTAA